ATATATTCTGCTCTGCTCAGCTCTTGATTTCTCGTCACTGACCAGTCATCCACTAGCTTCCACCATGCACCCTTCCCTCCATGCCTCTGTGCCTTCAACCCTCATAGTGAGCGCTCATGGAATATGATCCTCTACCCTCTCCAAATGCTCACACTCCTTCCCATCTGGCAGCATTCCCTGTCTGAATCATTCTTTCCTCTAGAGCAGCTCCCTTCACCATCACACTCCATCTCTGTGATAGAGGGAGGTAACCTATCCACTTTCAGAACTTGAGCCTCTTTGATCATCAGACTCAAGTGCACCCTTACTGATATATGTCTACTTTCCTTTCCAGAGTATACGCTTCTCCAAAGGAGGAACTTCCTCTTGCAGGCACAGCCCCTCATATATAGCAAATAACTTATAGTAGAAAGCAACATTTACAAAACTGAACAGGAAACGTTTTATTCATGAACACCTTCCTTGACATCTCTTACATCTGAGTCCTGTTAACACAAAGTGAGTCAATTCTGTTTTCAGATTATCTCTAGAATCCAGCCTCACCACCCTCAGTTCTCATTTTGAGGCAACCACAAAATCTCACTGAGATAGTTGTAAAGCTTCTGTCCTCGTCCTCTTCTATTAGTAACAAAGGAACTTGAATGTTCCCTTTAAAAAGCAATTATAGGGGCCTATGAGATGGCTCAGAGGGTGAAAGCACTTTGGGGTGCCTGATGATCTGAGTTCAGCTCTGGTAGAAGAGAACTGACTCCTCAAGCTGTTGTCTTCTAACCTCCATGGGTGCTGTGGCTCATATGGCGTGTGCGCGCACACACATACACACAACACATGCAGAAACAGAATCCCAGTATGTCACCCCCACAAGTCAGCCTTCCCATGGTACCCCTAGCATCCAACACAAAGCCAGAGTTCAGGAAGGGTGATCTGATCACATTACATCTCTCTGCCCCATTTTGTTTTCTATTTGGATCCCAGCTATGTTGGCATTCTTTCTCCAGTGCTCTAGGGCAGTTTATCTAAGACAGTTGCACTTTTTAAAAAAAATTTTAAAAATTTTATGTGTACGAGTGTATTGCCTGCATGTATGTGAGTGCACTTGTGTCGTGCAATGCAGTGGAGGTCAGAAGAGGGCTTTAGATTCCCCTGGAACTGGAGTTAAGGATGGTTTGTAGCCAACATGTGGATGCTGGGAATCGAACCTGGATCCTCTGCAAGAGCAGTCAGTGCTCTTAACCTCTGAGCCATGTCTCCAGCCCCAACAGTTGCATTTTTAAAAAATTTATTTTTCTTTTTAGAGACAGGGTCTCACTCTATAGCCCAGGGTAGTCTGGTACTCAGTATGTAGCCCAAGCTAGCCTCAAACTCCTGACAATCCTGCCTCAGCCCCCTGGGTGCTGGGATTATAGACATGCCTTACCAAGCTCAGCTCTTCTTGACTATGAAATGGGCTTTCAGCAGTCTGAAATTTGGAAGATATGGATGGAAGAAATTCTGCCCCGCCCCCTTATTTTAGGGACAATATTTTTCTAAAGAAAACTTTTGGGTTTATAATGTTCAGAGTTCTT